CACGCAATCAATATACCACTATACCAACACCGATCTAAGATTATTCAATTGCACCCATACCTTTGGGAACAATCAGGCATATTATCAGTAGTTGAATATGTACAATGTGCAATGATCAAGGGCTTCACTCTGATACCATGATGAAAATTAACCAAGAAGAAACTAGAGGAAGAAGGTTTTCTATCTTGTTTTATTTCATATGAATATCTATATATACATACACTAGTGAATTATGCATAAAAAACACTATATACTGTTACAGAATAATTACAGAATTAAATGGAAATATCTACAACTTAATGAGAGAGATATTGATGTCACAATTGGAAAAGAGTGATTCTGGAGTTATAGCAAATAATCTTAGCATTATGCTAGGCAACACTTTTCAACTCATTTTTCCATCAGTTCATCTTTTAAGAGCAAAGAAAAGTATGTTAACAAGGACCAAGAGGTGCTACCCATATTACAAAACAAGGAGAAATTTATAAATCAGATCAAATACCAATGAGGTCCCCCAAGCCATTTGCGGCACTGAAAAAAAAAAGGACTTGGAACTATAAATCTCTAACTCTAAATTTCTAACTCTATCAAAACAGATAGCAAAGATGCTATAAGCCACTAATATTTCTGGTGCCAAGGGAATTATAGAAAGCATACCTTTTAGTAATAATCCTATCACTCACGTGCTATGCACTATGGTCTATGGCTTACTTGGTATTTGCTGGGTAATGGCCAGTTCCATACAAGATGAATTGTTTGCCTGGGAATTGGTGTGCAAGAAGAACAAGAAGTTTAGACTTATACCGGTCGCCACTTTCTGGGCAATTTAGAAAGAAAGAAACAACAGAGTCTCTTATGGAAATGAAGATATTTTTGGCAACATCATGGACAAATGGCTACAGTTTTTTGGTTCCGTTGTTCTGTAACATAACATTAACCATTTTGACGATTTAGGGGTCAATTGTAGATGTGCTTATTGACTTGTAAATCTTTTATACATGGGTGGCGCCCCCTTGGCGCCTTCACATCAATATGTTTTCTATACTTTTATCTCAAAAAAATACCTTTTAGCAATAAACTGTTTGATACATTTTCAAAAATAAAAGAAAAACAACTCTCTAACTACTTATTCCTATGGTTGTAAAATCAAGAGAAAAATGTTTTGTCACTATCTGATATGGTGAATAGAAATCCAATGATAACTCAAGAAGCAATCCAAGAAAAAAACTCAAATTTACCTCCTCTCGAGATGTTGGTTTCAGAAAACCAGAAATAGATTGGCCTACTGGTGGTTGCTTCAGAGTTTTATCACCCTCGTAATATTTTTTGTCTGGAACAGCTGAACCTGCAAACCATCTTCCAAGTGCGTGTTGGAAGGATGAAGGATTATGATAAACTTTTTCACCGCTACCCTTACACTTAACAAATTTTGGTCTTCTTTTTTCTCTGTACTTTATCATCTTCTTCTCTGCAATCCAAAGTTGTGCAAGAAAATTTCTGGTCAAATGAGGACTATTTTCAACACCATGATTGAAACAGCGATGCACAGCCCCCCTGCTCTGCTTCAGCCAATAGCCACTCCCTTGAACTAGACAAGCTAGCTTAGACCTATGTTGTACATATCTTGCTAAGATCAAACTGTTCTGAACATTTGTAACCCCTATCTGCAAGTCATTCTGCTGCAATAAGGTTCCATACGAACACCACTTCTGTTGCAAGCTATTAAGGACTTGACTTTTGTTGGACCTAAGCCTACTGTTTTGAAGATTCTTGGCATCACAATACAGTGATATACCCAACTTATGCATAACTGGATATCAGTATATTAAATAAATCTCTCCAGATCAGAACAGATTGTTGCCTTATTCACCCAATAACATCAGACAGTGCCTGTTAAAAAGTAAAAAAAATTTCAAACAATCACTAAATTAGATAAAAGATATGAATAGAGACTGAATTAAGTTTGAATGTAACAGTTATTACATTGTCAACAACTATTCCTTCGGCTTATGCAATAACTATTTAATGGAACCATAATTCCCTTACTCCTATAATGGCACTGCCACCAGGGAAGGTCTGAATCCAAATTCAGTGATGGACTAAAGTTCTCAAACGATGTTGCTCTTTATTATCAAAGAAAAATGGAAGGCTTAACATTTTCAAGTTACAAAAATTACAATCCCAAATTTGTCTCACCGATAATATTCCCAAAACAGCTTGTGGACGAGCGCAGGCCATAATATGCTTGCATTAGAACCATAGCAGAACCCACCAAAGTAGATCGGAGCAAGCACCTGTGGATGGAAACTATGAAAAGGGAGGTCGTTAGAAATGGAAATAGGTCAGAGAGCGTGAAAGAGAGAGAGCAAAAGACAGAAGAAACTCAAAGGGGAAACTGATGGTAATTAATGGCGATTAGAAGCACACGATCAGGAAGGGAAAGAGGTTGCAGGAGTTTCAATGATGGTTGTAGGAGTTTTCAGTAACGAAGGGGAATAGACGCGAAGGAGGGACAGTGATGGTAATGATTTGGGTGATAATGACAGAATACAACCGTTGAAGAGGTTACGGGCAAAACAATTTTTGAAGAGAGAGACAAACCACTTGAATTTAGGGATTTGCGTTTCTCGTTACATACCTAAAAACAATGTTGGACAAATGAATATTTTATACAGTGCCTTAGAATTAGAATTTTTTGATGAAGTTTCTAGTTGTAAATCAGAATAGGAAACTCATGAAAAGTTTGTACATGAAATTTCAAAGATTTTCTACGTGGACTGACGATGAGGAAAATTGTAACAAAGATTTAGAACATGAAGAAAGTTTGTTTTAATTGTGAGAAATGTAAAAATTTAGTTATCAAGAAATATGTTGGTTCAGGTATGAATATGTAATTGAAGTGTCATCCTATTCTGCATGTATAATAAATACATGACAACAGTTGAATTCTACTTTTGTATTTTGCCAAAAAATTTTCTAATTTCTGTAAAGGTTCTTAGGATAGCCTTCTCAAAAATTGTTGCTTGCAACATTCAAGTTTTTCAATATTTTTGAAAGTTATAATCTAAATTTATTCGAATTGAAATAACTAAAATTTGAATAATAATAATTTTTTATGCATTTTTACAAGTATTCACAGTGTAATAATAATAATTTCTCTATATGCATTTTTCAAAAAGAAAAAAGGTCAAAAAAATAGAACTTCTCAGTGGATTTTTCTTCCAGGCCAGTGAAGCCATGGATAAATACTCCAAAAGCTCTTGTACAATTTCTGTTTTTTTTTAAATACTTTTAATATTTTTCTAAATTAGTCTTTTCTCTAACAATAAAAAATAGTCTATCCTTTTACATTTCATTACTTATAAATATTAGTTTTATAACCGATTCAATACTTAAATGGAGTATTTTATAAATAGTCTTATATGGAATTATTAACGATGAATTTTTGGTCTTAACAAAAACGAATTATAATAATAGAATATGTCTTTGTTTACCCTGACGAAACTATTTTAATATACAAAAAAATATTCTCAACATTAAGCAATCTTCTCCCTTGCAACACCTGGCTAGCCACGGACGTCATCCCAATTTTTCTCCCTTATCTGGTGTGTGTATTTGTCATATTTTAGTGTTAGAACTGACGAATGATTTTGAAAAGACAAAAAGAAAAGAAAAGAAATTAAGCAAATATCTATATGTACGTATTTGAATTCTTGTATTTCAAGGGATACATGCAAAAATGATTGGAGCTCATTGGATTGGTTCTTTTTTCCTTCACTTTTTCATTTGTTACACATATATGTCAATAGTAAAAAGTCAGAAGGGCGGCCCGTTCTTCCTATATTTAGGGTTTCTAATCATAATTTAATTTATATGTATATAATACATGTACCTGTGAAGAGAGAGAGGGAAGGAAAAAATTTGAAATGAGCTTTCATTAGATAAATATCTTCTTCGTCTCTCTAATTCACGCCTCATTGAAAACCTTTTTCTTTTTCCTATTTTTCCATCCTCAATTGCAAACCCTTGGCCGCGGGAATGCTCTCATTCTTTTCTCTCCTCTATAAATCATGAGTTTCCCTAGTCTTTCATCTCTAATTTTTACTAAAAGCACTGAAGTTTGTCTGTACTCGTCACCGACGATTTACATTGTTCTAAGCTCCGGCTTCAACCTCTATTCACCAAGAAGTAGCATAAGCTATTGCGGTAGGAGGAGGAAGAAACTAACATCCGTCACATAGTCTTCGGCATCACTGCATCGTAGAGGAAAGAGGCGAAATGAATGTCCGAAGAGATTGTTTGGGGAGCAAGAGAGAGAGTGAGGAAAAAGAGAAAGAAAGAGTTTTCTAATTTTTAATTTTTAATTCTTAAAAAATAAAAAAAGTGAATAACTACACGTGCATATTACGTCAGCATTCAATGGTTTACTAAGCAGCTGTATCATAAAGACAGACGGTTCAAAAGGGCAAAAAAAAAAAATTATTATTATTATTTTTCCAATTAATTTAAAACTAATATTTTTTTAATAATTTAGTTTTAATTATTAATGTTAATAATAATTATTTATCAAATCATTATTTATTGTGTGTATAATAAATTTCATCATCTTTGGCCGTGTGCACACAATTTAACAACAATTAGTTTTATAGTAAAGATTGGATTAATTTAAGACTAAATTAAAAGTTATAAATAAAAATTTATAAAATATATTTGAATTAAATAATTCAAATTCATTGAGAGGATAGAAATTCGTACAAATATATTTCAAATGAATAATTCAAGTTATAAAAAACTATTTTACATGATTTTGGGTCTATTCAAATTCAATTTCTTGTAAAATATATTTGAATTGAATACTTCCCGACATTTTTAGTATTTTGGCTTTAAAATTTTTATATGTATTTTGGATGGAATTTGACATAAAATACATTGAACAATTCAGATTAATAGTGGGACATTTTCAATACTTTGGCTTTCAAAATTGCATCACATTTACTTTGATTGAATAATTGAGGGGCATTTTTGGAATTTCGCTTTAAAAATTGTATGTATTTGAATGGAAATTTAGTAATTTGACTTTAAAGAATTGCAAGGATTTGGGTCCGTTTTAAGTCTAAAAACCCGAGTAAATCACGTAAATAGAGTGGCATTTGCATGTATTTAAATGGAATTCTGTATAATATGTATTTGAAATGAAAAATTCAGATTAATACAGGGGTATTTTAGTATTTTAACTTTTTTTTTTTTTTAATTTTGAAAAAAAAAAATGCATGTGTTTGTGTATAAAGGAAAAGACGCAGAGAAGTGGACCCCGCGACCACCACATGTATTAGCATTTGAAAATTGGAAACAACTGTACCCGAATACAAATACAAACACAGAAAATGGTTAGACAACAAGACTTCGCCTTCACTATTCTTCGATTCCTTTCGGCAGAAGAGAAGAAGAAAATTGTCTTTGCTCTGGTCTGATACACAAATGTTTTGCTGCTTTCTCGTATGTAAAAGCGTTCTGTTTTGTATCTCATCGTCGGCTAAGCAACAGACTCAATATCGAGAGAGTGAAGTGATGAGCTAGGGACAAGAACAGCACTGAGTTAGAAGGAGAAAGTGAAGAAATCACAAGAACGATTATAGGGGGAGAGGTGAAAAGGATTTGATTGGTGGTTCAAAATGGCGTTTTGCAGTATGTTCTGCTGTAGAAAGGGTTTGGATCGGTATGTATCAATGATGGGTCAATTGATGGAAACTGGAGTTTCCTTTTGCTTTTTGAATTTCTATTTTTGTTTGATCTGATTATTTGTTAAAGGGTGCTATTAAATTTATGGTGAAATTTGATTTTTGATTGATTGGTTACGGCGGGTGACTGTTGTGCTGGTGGAAATGGGGATTAAGGTGGGTTTAAAAATTAATTAGGTGGATGTTGGTTTATTTTTCATTTTCTTTTAACTCTTCTGTGGATCCTAAAATGACAAATTGTTTATAATATACTGAACTGAGTTTGGTTGTGACTGGTAGGTTTAGCCTATGTGAAGTATTCATGTTTTGTGAAACTACAGTAACAGAGGAGTTGTTTACATTACTCATTCCATATTCTTTTTCTTTTTTCCCTGTATTCTTTAGGAGTGTGATGTTACTGGCAATTGGGGTTCTTTTCACCATGTTGTAATGATGGTTTTGATGATTAGTTTATGAAATTCTACAGGAAAGACAGGGAGAAGAAACTGTCAACATGGAGGATTTTCTCATTAAAAGAATTGCACTCAGCTACCAATAATTTTAATTATGATAACAAGCTTGGAGAAAGTGGATTTGGCAGTGTTTACTGGGGTCAGCTCTGGGATGGTTCGCAGGTATTGAGCTTAGCTTTTTTGGATATTTATTTTTCCTATTTGAATTTTGGTTTTAAATTTTAATTAAATTTATCAAGGAAAATATAATTATCGATTTTACACAGAATTATCAGCAAATAGCAAATTATTGAATTTGTTGTGGGGCGGACCGGACTGGATGGGTGGGTGCTGTTCAAGCTCTGAAGTGTACTGATTGACCTTATTTTATATGCTTAAAATAGTCGAAATTCAATTTCATACAAAACCCAATTATTTGAATGGTTAGCTTTAAGTGGTTACTTTTTATTGAGATTCTGATAATTAGTCATGGAAATTAGTAGCTGCATGTGAAATAGTCCGAGTAAGAATGTAGTTGTTGAAGATTCCTACTCCCAACTGCATTGGGTGTGTGCATTCATTTGCCAAGGAAAAAAGAGATTGGCAAGAGAAACCAGCTAATGTACCATAACCATTTTCTTGCCTAATTCTGAGTCAGTTGGTGATGTAATAAACTAGTAAGGAATGTACCTCTTTGTGTTAAGTTTCTTGTGCAGAATATGGCATTCCTCTGAATGTAAATATTTATTTCTTCATATCTGGATATGTAAATTCCAGTTTCAAGATTTTTATGGATGTCATTACTCAAAAAGAAAAAAAAAAGAGAAGAGATTGTGTGCCTGGTGTCAAAGTACCCTATGGCCTCAAGTTAGTTGTTTTCTTTGTTAGGCGTTTGATTTTGAGTAGCTTTGGGTGGTTGTTGAGAGAAGGAATAGCTCTTATACCAATTCATGCTAAAATGTGTTAGGAATAGATTCTGGATGTTCCCCAATTAATTTTACTGGAAGGGCAAAGTCAAAGGAGCAAATCTATTCTTTTCTTTTTGTTCCACAGGTACATAGATAAAGGAATTCGATCAGTACCTTTATTGTTTCTGTTTTAATGAAATGCAATTTTGCTGTCATTTATCCTTGTCTTCATAACTTGCATGTCAACACTACTTGCTTTCATCTTTCCCTCCTGTACAATATCCTTTTGCTTGCATGTGACCCAATGTTCTTTAGTGAAAGTTTATCTAGGAATTGAATTTCACATTCTCAATCCTGGAGTTGAAAGTTTTTAGTTTGTCACTTTAGCTTAATGCTTTTCGGCAGAAATAATTCAATGGTATTCCAATGGAAGATATGACCTTTGAATCATTGGCTAGTTATCAAGTTTTATCATTGCTCGTTGTGATTGGGTTTTATCATTCCTTCACTTATGGCACATTTTGATTTGCTGAATAAGATACAGGTAGAATGGAATAACTATTCAACAGAGACGGCATAATACTGTAACAAACTTGTAGTTATGTTATGATATTTGGTTTTCAATAAGCATTACAACATTATTGCTATGTTTGATTCAACAGTGTACGAGAATGAAATAATGCTATAATAAACCATAAGTGATTATAATATCACACCTTACTTTATTTGTTTAAAAATATAATATAATGCACTTATGATAAATAATTCATCTATATATTAAAAATTTATATATTATTACATAATAAATTGATAGAATCTATGCAAACATTTTAATTAGTAAGTTCAAATTTTCATATATTTTTTTTCATAGACTTATAACATTTCATATAATTGTGCTAAAGAAGACGGTGGACCTTGCTGCATATATATGACTTTTTTCTGTTTATAAAATAAAAAAAATTACTCACATATTTTGACATCATAGATTCTGATTTAATATAGTTGTTTTAATTCTGATTTCATATAATTTTTTAATTAATAACATTATGAAATTTCACATTAAAATGCATTGGTATTTTTGTGCACTGTTAATATTCTATTCAACTGTTATGCTAATGGGGGTATTATGGTCCTAAAGATAAAGTGACTAGTCATACCTTGGTTATAACATTGATTCATGACGTCCCGTTCATGAATCAGAGTTAAAACTTATTCAGGAAGTACAAGTTTATGACTGTCGACAAAACAATGCAAAAGCTCCAGTTATATAGCTAATGCATTGCTTTTATGTTCTCTCCAGCAACGAACAAATACCAAGCATATAGTTAGTTTCCATAGATTTGTGTTACGACAATCAACTTGGAGTCTACATCAA